AAAATAACTTTTCATCATTTAACGGCATATTATATGTTTATACTTACATAGTATATCTGATCCTCACTAAAATCGAAGACAATTATATATGGATAAAAGAAAAATACTACTTAAAAAGCCTAAGCCTAAATGTTTTTCTTTTTTCTTTTGATCGTAGCTTGCTAAGAAAAATTAAAAATCGATTCAGAACACTAGCGAACTCTAAAAATTCTTAGATTGATCTAGACTTCAACTAAAGTTGATTCGTGGCAAAGACAACATTCTGAAAGTTCTTTCTATGTGTTTTCAACGAATCAGTATTCATATAAATAACTATTTCGTACTACCACGCGCAGATATGTATAAGGCACAGAACATTTTACGAAGGTTTTCGAAAATTTTTCATTCTACTCGAATTACTTTATATACACAAAGAATGATACGAAATTTCGTTGGTCATTTTCATTACTTGCATTGCCAAAAAAAAGTGCTACATAGTGTTTAGTTTCTTTTAAGTTATTCTAATTTTTTCATTAATCAAATGCCATAATTTTAGTAACGGATATCTCTGCATTATTTGGTTATGCTCGAACTTCAAGTAAATCTTTCGCTCTATTCATGCATCTTTGTATGTCAGTGAGCAGAGATCCAACGGTCATGAACGAAAAGAAAAAGAAATATGAAGAAAGTCACCAATCACATAAACGTTCACACAGAATATTTAGAGAACATGACATACAGTAACAAAAGAGAGACCACCAAGAATCCATGCTATAAGAGGAACAATCTATAATACGATTTTATACTGGTCTAACATTCAACTATCATGAAGACAGTGTTGACGTGTTTATTTTAAACATACACATTTCGAACTAACTGTAAGAGTACTTGATTTTTTCATTTTCATTTACAGGGTGAGACATAAATTTTTCTTATTCTTTGTTGTATTCTTCTTAAGAATCACAACAGAAGATGGTAAATGAGAACGATCGTTCCCAATAGATTATAATAGAAAGAGAAAATGCTAAAAAGAATATGCATGTGGGTGTGTGTAGGTATATCTGGATGTACATAAAGAGTTATATCAACGGTGACACTCACATTCGCAGCGACACCCAAAAAAATTAACTTTTAGAGGCTTTTAACAGATAATTATTATCTATTGATATTTCCATACCAAGTGACTTTTTGTTTTCTAATATTTCCAGTTTCAAAATTTATTACTTTATTATTGACTATCAAAAAGATAATCAATTAAATTTAACTTGATTAAAGCAAATGGACCTGTCACGATACATACCAGGTGTGATTCTTCTTTTTTATATTGGAATAATGTTATTCACATTGCTGATTATTAGTTTTCTGTTTCCTACAGCTACTGAATTGCCATTATTTTATTATTGGCACTATGAAGGCATCATTGATGGTCTCTGCCAATCATGGCCAATATTTTTTTGGGGTTTTGTTGCTACTACATTATTTCTCCTATTAAGCAATCAAACTACATTAGAGAAAACTATTAATTACGCCGAATATGCAAATGAAGGATCAACATTATTCAAATGTTTGATTGATTCTTTATTAATCGGTGTAATTGAAGAAATTTTATATCGATGGCTGTATTTTTATTCGAATATTATAGCATGTAAAATAACGAATTTTTGTCTCGTTGGATTATGTCGCTGGTTCTATATAAATTATGAAGCACATTTGATAAACTTGATTTTCTTTAAAAGATTAGGATGGTTATTATATGATCAGGCTCATTGGTCAATCGGATCCAGTGCTATTATAACAAACGCAGCTTTTCGTGATCAGCATGTATATCTTGGATTATTTGGTTGTTTGAATTCATGGTATATTGGATTTTTTGAATTTTGGATTATGATGAATTATGGATTGCCTGCAGCCATTTTGTCGCATGCATTCTATGATTTTATCATTTTCTCAATGTATTATACACATGGGTACGTCCGAAGACAAACTTCACGTTCTTATACCCAAAAATATCCAGCATCTCAGTCAGCACCGTCATCATTTTCCAGGCTTAAAGAAAGTGTATAAATATGATCTACTTGACATAGTATGTTGTACTTATTCGACTTAATCAGGAAACGGTCGGATAAGAATCGCAATTATCTAGAAAATAAACAAGAGCTTTTCAAGCCATAGTGCTTAAAAATCAAGTCGAATTTTCTAAACTATTCATAAAGAAATCGTTAGCCTATCTGCTTTGGGATATAGATTTCGATGGATATGAGTATTTTTTCATACACACGACACTCAAGTCTTTAGACTTTTCCTTTTTGGTTCGGAATAGTCTTCATAAGTTCCATCGGTTTTTAGTATTTTTCTGACGCAATTGACACGTATCTCTTGATCTAGGTGATATTTAAGCCAAAGACTTATTGAATAAAAAAATAAAACAGAAAAATTCAACAAACAGAAAATTTTACTCATGATTTGTTTGATTATAACTTTTCAAAAGCTAAGTTTTCTTTTATTTTGAAGATCATCCAACTTTATATTTGAGGAAAATTCTTCAAATTGGACTAATCGTATATCTAAATTCAAAATAAATCTCAAAAAGCATTCTTTCTTAATTCATTATTTATACTTGTTGGATCAATAACAAAACATGTTTATCAGCTGTGCGAAAACAACCTTTTCGGGCATTACAAACTAGCTTTTCCATTATTAATGAAAACTAATTAAAGATAACTAGGTTTTCCACTATGAATTGCAAGTGCTCATTGATATATAAATAAATGGACATCTTCATTGGCGATTCCTCGTAATAGAAGAGTTAATTTTAATTTTCACCAGCTGATAGCGAAAGTCGATGAGAAAGAAAGATAGAATTAATTCCATCTTCCAATTGCATGAAGGTATATGTATGAGTGGGCTTCCCTTCATACACACTCACATCCTCGTGTTCTAATTGATCAATCTGTTCCAATATGCTGATACTTTATGCCTTATCTTGCATCGTACGTAGACTCACATTTGCGTTGGGGGGATAGAATGATACAGGCATCTCATATGCCTTCACATTTTGATTTCACATATGTGTCTGTTTTTCTCTTTTCTCGTTCATTGCTTGGCTGTTTCGCAGACTTTTATGAGCTATTCGCGAAAATAATACGAGCTGAATTGACAAGATTTCTTACATGCTCATTCGAAGAATCGGCTTATATTTTGACGAACAAACACATATTGCCTCCAGTTTCGCTTTACTTTCAAGGCATCAGCTTCTTGTGTTGCTTTTAGTTTTTGTTTGTATTTCGCCACGAGAAACGTTCTGTTTGAAAGCTATAAATTATGTAGAATAAACATTGACTTATATTACATTCACTGTCTATTGATCAATAATTTCGATCTGGTACTACGCTAGCGCTCTGTGAGCGACTATCGCATGAACAGTGCCGAACTACTTGATCTATTATGACGCTGTGAAGCTACCAATCAGGAGTCAACGTTGATGAATAATAAGGATACAATGATGACTACACTCTTTCGTTCTGAGTTTACTGACTATCTCTGGTTTATGGAACACTATCTGGTCGAATCATTTTCGTCATCATTCTAAGTGAAAAGCGAGTTCATTTCGGTCTACATGTAATGACAATGTCCTTTAATCATTTCGGTCGCATGAATCCAGTTCGACGTCGACAACATCTTGTTGAAAGCTTACCAGAGAGGAAACTGAACGGCTGTAAACGGTTGATATGGTCGTCTGGGTCAGCCGTCCAGTATTATCCGACGTTTGAAATATCAAGAAAATGAGAGAAGATGTAGGCACTTTTACTGTGGAGGATAATCCAAAGCCCATCGTGGTCCATATAGACTTGCATTAAACTTTTTCGAATCATTGTCATGTTTGATAAATGAGAGTGAAATACTAGCATCTGCGCTTAGCCATGCAATGACCATCGACGACATGCCATACATGTTGTGCCATGTTGACCCAAAATCATCTTTCAATCGATTAGTCCGACAAAGAGCATTAGCCATGACCACATAGGTACTCGATAGACGGATTATATCGTCACACATGGCAGACATTACAGATCCATATGAGAAGTCTTCTGTATGGCTCAATCCATGAGATTTCAGTGGACTTTGGTATTTGCCTCCAAATATCTGAAAAAATCCAGTCGCACTTATAAATGAATCAGACAAGTTTCAATGGCAAATAACTATATCAAGGATACGTTTATGTTGTCATTCTTTTACTTTTTGAGACAATCAAACTAAAAAGCAATTTTGCATGAGTATTAACTATGTCTAATGATAAATAAACTAAATTAGGATCTAGATAAGACTGTGAAAGATTGTGTCCTATTCAATCACTTATTTGCTCACCCACACACGCACAGCTTTAGAAGGCTTTTTATCATCATTTTTTCATGGTGTTCGGATGACTCTAGCTAGATTAGTGCGTCTTATCAGACGTCTCTATTTAAGAAAGAAATAAGACAGCTGCATTGAAAATGTCAGTTGGTCGTTTTTCTCATTATTTGATCCAAGTAAATCTGAATATATTTCATTTAAAAACATCGAATATGATCGTACGATGGTCTACTCTAGTATTTCTACTAGCAAGAGTATCTACCATTACCTTTCCGCCGCTTAACTTGTATATTGGAACGGTTAGTTTTGATTATGAAGCAGGTAGTTTACCTCTTGGTGCACTTCGTCTCAATGCCGCTACAAGTGGTGCATTCGATATCCCAATTAGATTTCAGCATTATGCTGGTTATCAATATACGGATATGCATACATTCAATGAAGCTGTAATCAAATTCAACACTGCGATTGTTCATTCACTGTCGAGTCCGACTACATGGAATTAGTCGCAGGGTATCTATTTAGGTTTTGACGATCAAATACATACTAAGCCTGATAATATGCAACATATCTATAAAGATCGATTCATATGGGTTGCTCACTGAACATAAATTTCTTTCTTTATTCTTTTTCATGATTCACAACGAGCCAATGATATTATTCGTTCGATTATGCTCATTGTTGCGCAATGTGGTGATTTACCAAAATGGCCGTTCGTCAAGGAATACACAAATAGTATGATTGGTTCACATGCTGATATTTTATTGAGGGATTTAATCATAAAATATGAACATGATATTCATCTCAATACGATTCAAGTTGTCAAAGCCTTAAGAAAAGTAGCCAATCAAGTACAAGCACATGATAGTTGTTTTGATCCACCTACATATATAAAATATCAATACGTGCCATATGAAATGGATCATCGTTCGGCATCACTTACAGTTAGCTATGCCTATGATGACTGGACGATCAGTAATGTCATGTATGCTGCAGGTCTTATCGATGAAGCACAAGAATATCATAATCGATCACGACGGTTTGAACATGCATTCGATAATAAAACAAAATTTTTCTGTGCTTGAAAAGCCGCCGACAAATTTTTTTTGTCCATCCAATGAAATCAAATGACTTAATCCATTCGATAATCGTTATGTTGAAGATGATGCATGGCATTATCGATTTTTTATTCCACATAGTACGCCACGTCTTATTAAATTACTTGGTGGTACGAAAACATTTGTTCAAGAACTTGATACTTTTTTGTGCGTAGTCAAATATGGTCATCGACAATATTACCAAATCCTTATTATTGACCAGTGAATGAACATGATTTATTTTCTGTTTGATAACTTCACTATGTCAATCGATCTGATCTTACTTAAAAACACTAATATTGGGTACTTGATCACCCTTATACGATAAAGCCTAATGGATTGCTTGGCAACGATGATTATGAATGGGATCGCCATCAATTCAATTTGACCTTTTTATGTCATTGGCATCGTCATAAATCGGACAACTGTCTGTATCAACATATCGTCAAAAAGACATTGCTTATATACAGGCATCACGACTAGATGCGTTTATTGAATGCGAACTTCATTCTAATCTACACGAAACATACTCTATTAAAGGTGAGAGCGAATGAAGGAAAAATTTTCATTCCATCCACTCATTATTTGTCACATATAAAAATGCAATTTTCAACGGTTACATACAAATAAAACAATCTGAAGAAAAGTAAATGTCCTCCATTGTGCTATTACTGATGCTCGCAAGCACAGTGAGAGCCAAGGGTAAGTGACGAGAGGACTCACATCCATGCCCTCAAGAGGATAATTCCTTTTTCTTTTTAGTGATTGGTAGCGGGTGTGTTCGTCCCGCGAAGATCTATTTCCGACTCTGCTTTATTTTCTTGTTGGTTCACTTTCAAACTAGTTACATACTGTAGACATTGAAAGATTCTAAGAGACTGAAAGCGCTGTTTTTTATTTAGTCACCATGAAGAAGATTTGAAACTGTCTGCACAGATGTCTCTTCTGGTCATGTTCAATATCAATATTCATCATCGTTGTTATCGGCATATACATTTCACGGTGAACTTTGATTCCAACAGGTCCAAGTATACCGAACAGTTCCTTTTTTATCTGAATGCTTACGGTAAGATGTTCTCATGTCATTTGAAGCAAATACGATACGTGCGATTGGTATTTAAACGCACATAATTCACATGCTTCTGTCTTTTCATCTCAACAACTCTAATAGTAGTTTTGTGAAAAACTTTGAGTAATAATACTGCTATATTTGACAGTAGTCTACAGCTTTTCATTCTACGTCTGTAGGTCTTGAGATGCACAAACCAGACATTATGATAGTCTACCTAAGCGAATTTCACTAGGAATAAGCTTCTCTAATATGAGCAACAAGAGTTCTATTAGTGATGGAAAGAACAAGAAAAAAAAAAGATATTATGTATATTACATCATGACAAACAATTAATAGACACACATATAAAGGAAATGAATGTTAACAGCTAGTAACATCAATTCATGTCAATAGGGAGCACCTCAGGAAAGTGAGCCTTTTTGATCAATCCTCTGATCCATTCTCTTTCGAAAATATTCTCACACTTTATTGCACTTATACATACATACATACATGCTCCTGTTCTCATGGGCGAATTTCTGTTGTCCTTGATTTTGAAAAACATTCACCGTTTTTCTTTTGCTAGAAAGTAGATCTATATTTAAATCTTTATTCAACAAATTTTTTTTTACTGCTTCATTCAGAAGGAAATAAAACTACTTGTAATCTTCATTTCTTTATACTCTGTTTATAATTAAAACTAAATAAGTGAAAAGTAACGAGAGTAGCTTCCATTTCGGTTGTCATGACTGAATAGAGAATGGAGATGAAATAAAATAAAATAATTGAAGAATCAATTTTCGAATAAAAAAACATTCCATTCTTCAAGAGTTAACGTATTAAAGCTCAGCTTTCGAATTGGTAAGAAAACGTACTATTGTCCAACCGCTGATCATATACAGAAAATATTCGAAGTTCGAATAAGAATATTTTAAGAACCCCATTGGTTATATAATAGCTTTGAAATATTGCTGTGATATTTCTTTCTTCAGTTCTACTTTGTTTATTTCTTATACATTATTTGTTTTAGTTTTCTCATTCATTTGGGTGGACCGGCTCTTTCTTTGTAGTTTTTCATTTTTATTCATACATTGCTTAGCAAATATTTTTGGAAGCTTATTGTTTTTTTTTCGTATAGTCAGTTACCATCTTTTAACAAATAACTTGTATCAAATTGAAAATTCTTTTAAATTTAAAATTTGATGTGTGTTCTTACAGATTGAAATCAAACTAATCATTGCTTTGTTAAAAGATGATACCAAGATTGAATTCTGATAAGGATTCATCTGTTGTAAAAACATGTCGAAATATTAACGAAAATAAAGTCGTAGAAAGCGCAAATTTTTAGGCTTTCATGGCTTGTTTCTATATTTGTTTTTAACTTTTTGTCTCAGTGCGTGGCAGCATCTAAGAGATTGCTTGGTTCTACTTTGACTTACATATTCTTGAATTTTGCTAGTGACTATTTGATGTCGCTCAGGAAATTGTCTAGTTTAGAATTTTATTGTGGATGTTACGAGTTTATCAGTATTTTGTTCTTTGTAGATATGTCTGAGAAAACTTCTACTCAATCGTCTAAAGTCGTAGCTATTGTTGGTGCTGGACTTGTAAGTGATTGCTACTATCGACTTCTTCATTGACACTAAACTCTCTACCGTAGGGTGGATCTCTCTGTGCTTGTTTCTTTGCCAAACATGGTATTCAAGTTCATCTCTTCGAATTACGTCCAGGTTCAATTATTATTTCATGCTGTTGAATCAATCTCAGATCTCTTCATATAGATATTCGAACACAAAAAGTGGTCAAGGGTCGTAGTATCAATATGGCACTTTCGCGTAGAGGTCGTGATGCTCTCGCCTATGTAGGTTGTGAAACAACCATCGTCAACAGTGGCATAGCAATGCGTGCTCGAATGATACACGAGCTGAACTGTACCAAACATCCTATCCCTTATGGTACGCGCGCAGATCACGTAAGTGACTAAACTTGAGTATGAAGAACTTCTCACTCGTAGTTTTAATCAGGAAATCTTGTCGATTGATCGTCGTACTCTCAACGAACTGCTATTAAATGGTAGGTCAGCAATACTCTATCAGATTTTTCATTAGATTTGTTTACTACTCTTGCAGAAGCTAGTAAACGATCGAATATTACTATTCATTTTCAGCACAAGTTTATCGGTTGGGATGAGGACCAGAAGATCGCTAGTTTCCACGAGTACGTCTAGAATAGTCAAGGCGATTTTTTTCCTGTCAATTTATTATTTTTTTTTCATTTAAGTGCATCAGGCAATCGAGTTGACTTTCGTGTCGATGTCGTGATCGGCTACGATGGGTAAGTATCGAACTCAGTCGATGGCTAATGGACACTGAGTCTTTAATCATCAATTAGGTGTCATTCAGCCGTACGAACAGCAATGATGAAAATTGATGCAATTAATGTCGCTCAAGAATATTTTGAAACCTATTACATGGAATTTTGTATTCCACCTAAAAATGATCAGGTACTCCAAGAGAAAGCATACATAGAATCGAAGAATATTTTGCTTATTTAGTTTGTTATGGAACCAAATTATCTTCATATTTGGCCACGCCATCAATTTATGCTCATCGCTTTACCGAATCAAGACAAATCTTTCACGACAACACTCTTCTCACCAATTTCGATCTTTCGAACATTGGAAACGGCTGATGATGTCTTGACATTTTTTCGTCAATACTTTCCAGATGCAGTATCATTCATTGGCGCGAACGAGATCATCGAGACATATTTCTCATCGAAGCCTCAACCATTGATCTCCACCAAATGTGAACCTCATACAACATACAATGGTGATATGCTTCTCATGGGTGATGCTGCTCATTCAATGGCACCCTTTTATGCTCAAGGTATGAATTCAGCATTCGAAGATTGTCTTGTTCTCTTTGACAAATTAAAAGAGAATAATTTCGATTTTCCAAAAGCATTTTCTGCTTACAAGTAAGTTTCCACGAACATTAACAATCTACTCTGAAATCTCTTATCTCTCTCTAGTGACACTCGAGTACGCGATACACATGCGATAGTTGATTTGTCCAGATACAATCATCGCGAAATGACACATCATGTCACATTACGTTCCTACCATTGGCGCAAGAAAATCGATAATGCTCTATATAAATTGTTTCCTCGTTGGTGGGTCCCTTTGTATACCATGGTAACATTCACACGAATTCCCTATCATCAATGTATGGAACTACGCAAACGACAAGATCGTATCTTGCAAATTGTCCGTGGTATTGGCTATTCGATCGTTGGCATCTTACTATTCAAGCGATTTGTCTGGGCTAATGTCAAACCATTTATCATGCAATTCTTTTCGAATAAAGTTTTGCCAAAACTCACAAGTCATAAAGCAAATTAACTCCTCTGATAATATTTTTGACTCTATTAACGCTAATTTCTTTACGAATTAATGGAACTTCTTGCTATTTGAAACAGTATACTTATGACAATGATTTTGTAGAAGGGAGAAATATTAGATTTACATCAATCAAAAATCACTTAAAATCACTACAAGTCATCAAAGAACAAAGATCTTTGTGCAAGAGACTCTATCTAGAACGCTGATAAGTAGAATTCACGTCTAAAGAACAAAAGACATGTGTATAAGACAAAAACTTTTCAAATCATTCTAACAACCTTAAATCAAATTAAGACATATGCTAATAAATATTTTTGTGACGACAAAGTCAAGTCTGGATTCTTTTCAGGTTCAGCTGAATGAAGTTTCCGTTGATTTTTCATCACTTCGATTGAGTTGATAGTGATGACAGGGTTTCATGTAATTCTCATACAGGAAGTAGAATCTATTGTTTACAGTTGTAAATCAATGATAGTCGAAAATTGATCATGACGAATTTTTCTAGTAGCTGTTTCAATTTAGGAATGGTCGAACTTGTATCGTTCCAATGTCATAACACAAGAAAATTCATAAGTCATACATAATAAGAAATCGATCAATTTTATATCGAACAACTGCTAGGTCTTATATTCAATTCTCACTATAATGTTTCCATTCCATTAAAACATGTTTCATCCGACTTATTTTATTGAAGTAGCTCACTGTATCTAAATATTAAAAATAAAGAGAGTGTGAGCGTGAGATGCTTTGTAAATCATAATTATTACTGATTCCTAGTACTACATACGAAATCTCATTAGTTACAGTAATCTATTAATATCCTAATCAGAGTCTTATTTTACCCCCTTTGACATTTTTGTTAGCAAAATGTCGGTCGATCGTGTTTTGTGCAGCATTAACGAAAGGTCTTGATATTTTACCCAATGATAGAAGTTAAAAAGTTCTGTGATCTGATACATTTACTAGTTTCAGTCGAAAAGCGTGTGATAAAGAGAGGACATAACCTACAACTCAAGCCACATATATCCACACACTATTTCTGGTTAATGCACCAAAACTCCTATTTGCTGTTTGTTATAATTGTGACATATATCTCAGAGACAGCAATGATATAATGATTATTATACAATCCAAAATCAAAATATTAAACGAAAGTTGAAAATTTTTGACTTAATAAAGTTTCATGAATAAGTTTTGAATGCAATATACAGGTATATCGAGATCAAAACAATAATATAGGATTTTACAGAATAGCACAAAGTTTAGTATTGATAAATATTAAAAATGAAGGAAGACGAAAAACACAGAAAACAACCTTTGATGACTCACACACTAGTTAAAAAATTTTACGATAAAATTACTTATTTCAAGAGAGACTTGGAATCCTTTAATTAGTCTTTTATACTAATTGATTTATTCTACATTCTATAAGAAATATCAATACATTCCAAAGAAAAAAGTCATTGGTATGTTAAAGACATGAAGATATTTGTTAATTATAATTTGTACATAAGATAAATTAAGGCGGGTACTTTATTTTTCTATTAATGTTTACTATCGTTTAATATTTGAAATATGTTTCAACTTCTGTCTAAAATTATTCTTTCTCTATTTACTAATTGTTACTTATTTTGTCAGTCAATACCTATCCTATATCGAACAGATCTATTCAAGTTAAATCATTCAAGTAAACATTTTCAAAAGAAAACAAATTTATTGATCTATAATAATGTTAATGATAATCTGGAAGAAGAAACGACGGATATTAATATTATATCCGTTGGCAAACAAAATAACATAATTAAATTAATAACGAAATTATTAATTATGTTCTTAATCATGGGAGGATTTATTGTACTTATCATAATTATTATGGTTTTGATCTTCGTTTATATTAATTGTAGTCGTCCATTACGAATACATAAACAAATTTCAATTGAATATCTTGATTCTAATGAAATGATAAATTATTTCGATGATATATCAACATAATCTATATTGGAACGTTCTGATATTGAAAATATTTAAATATTTTTAGAAATAATTGTTAGAGAAAAATGTAAAATTAGCAATAATAACTAGATTAATATAATGGGTGTCCTTCCTATATAGAATATTTATTTATTCTTTTCTATCAATTAAAAAAAAAAAGTGCACTGAATTTTTCTAAGAACTATCTTTGTCATCATTTAAATCGAACACATCATGCACACTCTCTTTCGCATTCTCATAATATTGTTTAATTTTTTTCATAGGTGAGGAAGTAAAATCATTATCTTTTGTGTCTGTGTCATCACTTGAACTATCTTCACTGTCATTGTCACTATCACTATCACTCGAACTTGATTCACTATCTTCTTCATCGGGTATTGTATTATTATTAAGATTTGGCGGCGACAATGTTGTTGTTGCTGTGGTTGTTGTCGCTGTGGTTGTTGTCGTTGTTTGTAAGTCTTCATTTGCTTCATTGATTTCTTCTGTAGTTTCTTCAGAAAATGTTGGTTTGGTTGATAATAATGTTGCTGCTTCTTCTTGGATTATTTCTGAAATAGAATGAAGAGGTGCATGAGTAGTTGTTGAAATAATGTGTGGTTCAGGAGAAGAATTTATTTCAGGAATTTCAACATTTGGAACGGATGTTGTAATAATTGGTGGAGAATTTGTAATTGTTATTGGAATAGATGATGTGGTTGTGGTAATAGGTGGAGAATTTGTTGTAGGACGTTTATGTTTAATTTTAACTTGTTGACCAAGAATTTGAAATCGTTTTTTATTTTTTTGTCTTTGTGAATCAACACCAATTATTTTTTTAATTGGTTGTTCTTCCTCATCATAATGTTTTATTTCTTCATTATTTTGATATCGCACAGATGAATGTAATCGTTGACGTATTTGTTTTTTCTGTGGTTTTTCAATAAGTTTAGGTTGTGTTTTCGGTAAAGATTTGACTGTTTCTGTAAGAATTTCATTTGAATTATCAGATTTAATTGAACGAGAAGGTATAGCTTGTTTAGGTGAACGTTTTTCTTTTTTTATTCGTGATTTTTTTTTTGAAATTTCTTTAGGTAATTCTGATGATGGTGGTATTGTTGTGGTAGTGGTAATAGTTGTTGTCATTGTTGTTGGTACATTTTCAATATCTTCATTATCATTCTCATTACAAAATGAAAATGTAATAGGTAATGGTAAAAGACATATAGATTTTTGTCCTGTTGGTAAAAGACCATATAAAACATAACTTGATGCACGACGAAAATATTCCATAAATGGTGTTTCTTCAATATCTTCGATATTAAGAATTTTTTCAATAGATTCTTCAACTTTTTCAATAATTTTTTCTTTTTTATGTTTTGATGATTTTTTTGATTCTGGTAATTGTTTATCTTTTTTACTACGTTTACCAGCTTGAGTTTCACGAGTAGCATTTTTTATTGCATCAAGTTTACGTCGAATACGATACCTAAAAAAAAAAAACAATGAAATTTTAAGAAAATGAAAAAAAGAAAAGACATTTTTTAACAAACCGATATTTCCATCCAACACTTCGATCTTCTGGTGTTAATTTAGCTAATGTCGGATCAAGTCTTTCATGTATTGGTATATGTTCATCTGATTTTTTCTTTGATTTTACTGAAGCTTCAGCTGCTTCACGTTTTTGTGCTTCTTTCATTTTCGAAACACGATAACGATATTGCCAACCAACAATTTTTTTTGGAATTTCAATTTGTTTTTCATCTGATACATCTTTTGTACTTGTTGACGTCTTAATTAGTTTTTTATCTTGTTTAATACTAAGTGTTTCCAAATCGAATGGAATACCAGTTTCTAATTTATTTAAAAAATAAAAATATTATTTCTTTCTTAAAATTTACCTGCTTGTTGTTTTTTTAATTCATCAAGTTTACGACGAATACGATATCGATATGCCCATCCAACATGTCGACCTTCTTCATTTATTTTACGTAATTCAGGATCAAGATGATCATATTCCCATTCAATACATTCATCTTCATCTTCAGTAGGTTTAATAAGACCTTGTTGTTTACGTTTTTGTTCAAGACGTGCTTTACGTTTTTCTTCTTCATCATTAATATATTCACCACGTCTTTTAGCTTCAAGCATTTTACTTATACGATATCGATAACGCCAACCAACAGTAGGTTTATTTTCCTATAGAAAAGAGCAAATAAAAACAAAAAATAATTTATAAAAAAAGAAAAACAAGTTTTTGTTTCTTGTTTTACTTCGACGGGTGGTGGTGTTTCTTTTTTTTCTGATTCAAATGGTTTATCTAGAACACGTTTACGTCTTCCACTTAATTCTTGTGGTGTTTTACGTTTAATTGCTTCTAGACCTAATTTTAAACGTTCTTGATCTTCACGAATATTTTCACGTAAAGTATCAATATAACGTGATACACGATAACGAAATTGCCAACCAACACGAGGTTTAAATAAACCACGATCATATGAACGAACAATTTCAACTGGATCAGTTATTTCTTCATATGATTTCATTCGACGACGTTTTTTTACTTTATCAACATCATCGTCATTATTATCATCATCATCTTCTTCATTATCGTTGACTTTTTTTGCAGTAAATAATTGACGTTTAGGAACAAATTTTTGTGTAATCGATACAGAATTGACAATATCTTGATTAAAGCTAAAGAATACATTATGATTTAAGCTTTTGTTATTTTATTAAATCAAAAACTATTCTTCTATTCTGTTAGACAAAATTGTAATTAGTCTTAAGTTTAAATGATTCTCCTTGTTTTCCTTATCAGATTTATGCCTGGAATAACACTGTATACATTATATTGTATTAGGTCTACTTCGACTTCTATCTAATGACAGTTGCTAAATGATAAGAATATTGACACTTAACAGATCTAATCTAAAATTTTTCTTACTATATTAGGAACTATTAATTTGGAATTCCTACGCAAGCTATGGTTTCTAGGACCTTCCCCTTCTGTGTAATTAACCAGAGATAAGACAAAAAAATAATAAATATTAAAATCTTCATAAAGGAAGATTGATAACTCATATATTGAAAATAGAATTCATCTAATTTGAAATGAATGAAATAATCAACAAGAAAAATAATATTTTGTCACATAAACAGATGATCTTGTCAATAGACAGTTGACTTGACATTACGAATAAAAATCTAGAATATTAGGCTTGCAGCAATGAGATTATTTCTAGAGAAAAAAAAGAAAGCAACGACTGTATATGTCATATAACGTAACGTTAAAAAGAAGGAGAGTCGTAAGCCAATATATATTTGATGATTTACAAAGATAAAGAAAAACATCAACTTAGCGTTTTCCCAAACGGACATCATCTATAGTTATCATAATAAATGATATTAACTGTAAAAATACAGTTATGTACGAATGTACATAGATATTTATTTGTAGTTTTTATGTTGATATTTGATCTAATTAATTTCGATTTATATCTTAATGTTTTTTTTTTCCAAAAAAAAAGAAGAATTTAAATTATTAATAAGACTTACATATCATTATTATTATCATTCGAATTTGATTCATCATTAGTATTGAATTCAAGAAGTTTACGTTTAGAAATTTTTGTATGAGTTGAAGAACTTATCTTCTTTTTATTAATTGGTTGTGTTTGAAGTTTTCCTCCTCCTGTTGTTGTAGTTTTTTTAGCTTGACCACCAGTACGTTTCATTTTTTGATCAGTTAAATAACGTGATATACGATAACGATAAGCCCAACCAACTTTTGGTTTATTTGAAATAGAATTTTTTTGTTTTGTCTTTGTTAAAGTTGTATCTGTTGGTATCGTACGTTTAGATTTTTTAACAGATAATAATTGTCGTTTTGATATACTCATAGATGAGAATGATAAATCATTGTTTGATATAATATGAGATTCTTTATCATTTAATTCATTAAAATAAAGATTAAATTCATAATCATCTATAGAATTTATATTTAAAGATAATATTTCATCATTAATAGAAAGTAATTTTCGTGCTTGACGATGTTGTTCTTCATTTACTGAAGAAAGAATTTGATCGTCTTCATTTGTATAATTATTATCGAGTATATCATCAGATAATTGAAACATATTTCGAACAAAATGATAAGCTCGATCGACAACTGAATTATTTTTTTCTTGATTATCAATATTAATTGGTTCATTGACTTCTAATGTTTCTGTTGGTTCTTCGATTATGGGCGGTGGTGGTGGTGGTGATGGCGGTTTTTCACGTTTTGATTTTGTAAGAGGTGGTGGAGATGTTGATGAAGGAGGAGGAGGAGGAGGAGGAGCTGGAATTGAAGCTGGAGGAGGTGTAATTTTACTTTTCATTGGTGCTTCCTTAATAGGTGATGATGTAGGTGGTGGAGTGAGAGATTCAGTCTCACTCAACTTATTAATAGATTTTTCTTTTTGATTTGAAGTAGATTTTGTATTTTTCTTGTCAGATTTTACTTTTTTCGATTTCTTTTTATCTTTTATAGGCAAAGATTTTGTTGAAGTAACAATTTTTTTCTTTGCTTGTATTGTATCATTATGTATTTTGGGTGGTTTAAATTTTTTTTCATGTTTTGTTTTCTTTGATTTTTTATGAATTTTTGAAGGTATTACAATATTTGGATGATCAATATGAAGTAATGCTCGACATCGATCACGTTCATGATCATTAATAGCTACTAAATCACGAGTTTTAGTAGCATGTTGAGTTGTATTTTTCTTTTTAATTTGTTTATGAATTTTGGGTTTTTTCTTTGGTGTTTTATGTTTTTTAATTTTTGTTCGTTCTTCTTTTTTAACAATTTTAGATTTAAGTAAATGACTAAAGGAACGAACTTTTTGACCAAGTTCTGTTGAAGTTTGTGGTCGAATATAAACTGTAGCACCATGTTTCTGATCGGTTCGTGTAGATTTTAATGATATTGGTGATTTTGAAGATGAAGAAATATGTTCAGATTTCTTCTCTCCAAGAGAAAAATTAAATTTACCAAAAAATAATAAACGACGAGACGTTGGACATGAATCAATATTAAACTAGAACATATTTTCAAACAAAACAAAAAAAAAGACATAGAAAACAAAAACAAAAAAATAAAATTTTTTTTTTTTTACTTGCGTTTGATCAGCTGCTGGCAGTAGTATAAATATAGAAAATGTGAGATAAAAAAGGGAAAGATCCATGTTTCGTTGAATAATTATTTATGTGTATGCACACACACACACGAATGTCCTTTCCTATATATGTAAAAAAAAAAAAAAAAGAAGTTGTTGACTACTGCTGTTGCTGTCTTGGGTGTTGATAAATAGTAATGATGATCATATCGTTGATGTCTGTCTAATACAACATCCACCCGTGTATGTAGGATGATTGGCAATATAGAAAAAATATACGTCTTCTATTATTTTCTATAGGTTTTTTTCTCTTCTTTTTTGTGCTTTTGCATATTCCTATTTTGTTAGCGGCATTATATATCTCCTCCCGTCTGTTCTGATACGTTTTAAGCACAGATATATATCAAAGACAATATATATATATATATTAGAATAATAACTAAATATTTCTAGTCAGTGTCAATCAAATAAGATCGTTAGTATAGTACCTTTTAATAAACAATAGAATATATCCTATTGTTTTTTGCTGTTCGACGTAATAAAAAAAGAAGAAAATCTAGTGTGGAGACAAATTGTGTCTCCACTAGTAATCTCTAGGTTTAAGGAAGAAGAATATATAGCAAGATGAATAATGTTGTTATTCGATAAGAAACAAAGCTCATACACTTTTTTTTTCCTTTTTTTTTGTTCTTTTCTTGCTCTTTATGTACAATTATCAATATATATGCTATCTTCCATATTGGATGAAACAGAAAAACCAACAAGCTATAAAAGACCTTGGATACTACCCAGAAAAAGAACAGAACGATACCCTGTGGTTTCTTTTTTTTCTTCTTCTTTTCTAATATGAGAGTATATACCAAATGCCAACAACAAAAACAACAGCAATAGCGATTTGTTTTCCTGATATCCATCAACACTAGACAGGAGGCTAGATATTATATCTACAAACCGCATGAAAAAAATCAGGCACACTCACTTGATAATAGATGAATACAACTATCAACATTTATTTTATCTATAGACTCGCGTATATCAAATTGTTTAAGTCCTTCCTTCTTGCAACAAAACAATCAATATTCTTTAAACCAAAACAAAAAAGAAAAAAAGAATGAAAATAGAGATAAATGCATGGAAAAATAGCCCAAGGTCTGATCTTTAATAAACGACATAATTGTTTATTTAGCATCTCGTTTTTTTGCAAAAAAATTTTCTATGATTTCTATCATTTTCTGCTTGAGAAAAAAAAAACTTGTTAGTGCAGCGCCCATTGGGGGCTTGAAATGTGCGTTTCACATGTGTTCTTTGGCCTCATTATCCTAACACAAAATATGTAAAGTGCAAAAAATCTCTTGCAGACTATAGTTGTTTTCTAAGATAATCGATCACCAGAGAAGCTATTCGTCTTATTTATTTCTGCATTTCTACCAAAAATGTTTTTTCTATTTTGCATAAGTGTTCTCTTTCTTTTTGCTTGTCTTGTTGTTCTTTGCATAAGGTCTCAATAAGCTTGTAAACATTCATAATGATTATTTCTTAATGTTATAAATTGATCATATGACGATTGTAACAAATCAATGTATCCCTACTACTCATTATCCTTAATATCTCGAAAATATATATAAGTCCCACAAATTCTTGTCTTTTTTTTTTAAATTAAACTTCGTTAATATTATTTCATAGATAAAAAAAAAATTGAACGTCAAATTTTGAGACATTGAGTTTTTTTCATCTTAAAAGTAAGATTTTAACAAACAGATAAAAATTTTAGTATATAAAATGAAAGTTCATAGAAACTTGTCTGTTAAATATTTTCCGATAACTAATCCAAAAAATAATATGATTGTTTCGATCACTGTTACATATATTAAAAAAAAAACATCAGAGAAGAACGACTGATATTGATCCAAAAAAAAAAAAAAAGAACAAAATAATAATAATAAAATTAAACTGAACCAAAATCTTTCATCCATTTATCATATTTTTCAAGCATTTCTTTTGAAACTGATGATGAAATTTTTGAAATCGCATCTTCAAAATCTTTCATTATTGTTGGTGATTGAAGTTTTTCTTTTAAATCTTGTGCTTGTTCTTGAATTTGAGTCATACTTAAATTTTCTGTTGCTCGACGCATTTGCATCATAGCTGCATCTCTAAATTATATTTTTGTAAGAACGAAAAAAAATGTTAATAAAAATCATATAATAAATCAATTATATTTACCGACAAACACTAGTTATATCTGAACCAGAATATCCATCAAGTTTTTTAGCAATAATATCTAAATTAACATCTTTAGCAAGTGGAACTTCTTTTAAATTTATAGTAAGTAATTCTTTTCGTGTTTCAAAATCTGGTAATGGAATATAAATACGTTTTTCTAGACGTCTTCGCATTGCATCATCAAGATCCCAAGGATGATTAGTTGCACCCAATACCATAACCATCTTTGATGGATCATCACCTCCTATCAATAAAGAAAAATACAAATTGAAAATATCAAAACAAAAACAAAAAAAAAATTCATTACCGACAGCACCGGTTACACCATCCATTTGAATGAGTAATTCAGATTTAGCTCTTCGACTAGCTTCATGTTCATTTGATTGACCACGTGTTGAACATAATGAATCAACTTCATCAATAAATATTGTTGATGGTGCATAAAATTTACCCAATTCAAAAAGTAAACGTACAAGTTTTTCACCTTCACCATGATATTTTGATGTTAAATTTGCAGCAGCAACATTAAAAAATGTTGTTTTACATTCTGTTGCTACTGCTTTAGCTAACATTGTTTTTCCAGTACCTGGAGGACCAAATAACAACACACCCTAATATATTACAAAAGAAATTGATTTCTATATGAAGTTATATATATAAACATACTTTCCATGGACGACGAATGCCTTTGAAAAAATCTGGCATAAAACGTGGTAATACAACAGCTTCTTGTAGTAATTTTTTAGCAGCTGCACAACCAGCAACATCTCCCCTTCATATGAATGAAAATTAGTTTTCAAGTAAATTTTAATCAATATTAGAATTCAATTCATTTTATCTTTACAATAAATATTAGTCATAGGACTAGAACGAATCAGATTGATTTCGATTCCGAGTCTGAAAATTTCTTGTAAAACATATTGGAGATTAACTCAATGAGTTTTATATTCTCATATCGACAGTCAATTATGACTTGATTAATATAAGATTATCAGATTTACGAGAGAATTGTTTTCTATCAATTAATCATTTTCTCATCGAAAACTTATTTTTAAAACACAAAAAAAATGATTATTGTCTTATAGACAATTTGCTTCAGAATTAATAGGTATAAGAGAATGTGTTCAAAAATGTCGTGTCCGATGGACTCTAGACAAGACTATGAAGTTTATTGAGTAAATCGGATGTTTAAATACATGTGTACTCAGGAGTATTGCGAGAGGGGAGGGTCAACCTTCGTTAATCTTGAGAAATTTCGATTTTATCAAAAAATCTTACAATCGATCTTCTAAGTCATCGTTGCTTTCTTAATCCTTTTAAGTCAATATATTGTTTTTCTTTTTACTATTTACATCGATCTATTAAATAAACTTTTAAATATACTATACCATCGAACATTTGGATCTTTTTGAACAATATCACGTTCTAAACCTTCTACTAAATCTTTTTCTGCTGCTGTAGGTACATATTTTTTTTCCTATAATAATAAAGAAATATTTATTTTATTAAAAAAAAAAAATACAAAAATAACTGACTGGATTATTTGGTTGATTATTATCACGTTTATTATCAGATTGTTTTTGTTTATTACTAGAAGCACTTTGTGGAGCTTTTCTTCCTCTTTGATTGTTATTGGCTGATTTTATATCACGAACAATTCCTTGAGGACGTGCAGGTGCTGGTTGAGATCTATGTACAAAACAAAAAAAAAATAAAATCTCTGTTTAAAAAAAAATCTTACATCATATGTCTTACGGAGCGACTGCTTGAACTGGATTTCGATTATTAAAATCAATATCACGTATTGGACGTCCATCAACAGCTGGATTATAAAAAGGATGTCCAAAATTTATATCAATATTAGCATCACCACCAATTGCTCGCACATCACCTTTCGTAAATTTTGCTAATAAATTTGCATGAATTACTTCAATCATTTGTCTATGGTCTATTGTTGATTGAAGTTCTCGTTCAAGTTCAATTATACACTAATAATAGAAATCAAACAAATGTAAGAAAAATAATGAAAATTCATCAATAAACCTCATTGCCACGTTTTTTTTCTGTTGCATCTGATAATGTATAACAATAACGTCGAAGTTTAGCAATAGCTAATCCATAAAATGTTATACCACGTTCATAATCACCATCTAAATATACATATATATTGAATTTTCAAATAGAAAAAATCTTTTATTAATAAAATTTCATCTTACACATATAATATTCACGAGCTTTCTTAGCTTCTTCTTCAAAACCTATTGAATTAGTTGGTATATTCGCCATTTGTAAAGTAGAATTAATATCTGTTTGTGTTGTTAAAATATCGGTTGTCAAGAAAGACAGTTTAATTAAGAATGGTTGGAAGAAAATAACAACGAATAAAGGGATCAACCGATATGTATGGAAGGACATCTGGAGTATAAGACTTTCAATATTGATCAAAAGGAAATGAAAAATAAAAACAATACGATATTCTACATTAGAATTTTGAACAATAATTAAAATAGAAAAGAAATAACTGAATATTTTATCTTAAAATCATATTTAATGTTTTCATTTTTGATACAAAAAAGAAAAATAATAATATGTTTTGCTATAGTAAGTTAAATAAGTCAAATTCATTTGTTTTTAATATCATATCCTTGAACTTTTGTTTTTGTTACTTCCGGTTGGTTACAATATTTTATATCTGACATATAAATAAGATCAAAATTTTTTCGTTTTCATATTGATTAAAGATTATGAATTTAGTTTTTGACATACGGATATATATATATAGTATATGTATCCGATATAAACATAAAATCTTTCAAATAATCTTAATCTTATTCAATAACAATGACAGAAACATTGAATGAATCAAATGAAATTCAATTAATACATAAGAAATATTTCAATAATGATATATCTTATTTATCAATTCAACCAAATTCTTTAAATAAATTAATTGAATTACTTTATGAAGCATTTTTAACAAATGAAATTAATATTGATTATGTTTATACACTTATGAATAATTATAAAGGTACAATGATTGAATTGTTACCATTTATTAAATTTCAATCAAATTATTATACAAGAAATTTAGTTGATATTGGAAATGGAAAATTTAATTTAATGATTTTATGTTGGGCTGAAGGACAAAGTTCATCAATACATGATCATACAAATTCACATTGTTTTTTAAAATGTTTACAAGGAAAATTAATTGAAACACGATATACTTGGCCAACAAATGATAAAGAAGAATCAATGCATATAATTAATCGTACTGAATTAATTGAAGGACAAGTTGCTTATATTAATGATTCAATTGGTTTACATCGTATTGAAAATCCAAGTCATACAGAAAGAGCTATTACATTACATCTTTATGTACCACCATTTGATTATTGTCATACATTTGATGAATGTACAAGTCGTATGAATGAAATAAAAATGACATTTCATTCAATTCATGGACAAATTAACAAGAAATGAATAATCTCTATTTTGAACAATTATTTTCTTTACTATAATTTGATAAATATGCTGTAGAGAAATGCTTTTATTTAGAAATATTTAAACATTTAATAAAATTTTGGAAAAATTGAAAAATAATATAAATGATTCATTGTTTTTTGAGTTTATATTTATTGTTTATACAAAATATATTTGGACTCAAACAACTCGAAAGATATTCAAGAATATAAGCGTTCTCGATGAGTTTTCATAGATTTGTTAGATTTTTATCATGGGATGGCAATCAAAATATATGACTTTTTTGTTGAAACTGACGGAAGAACAAACGAATTTCTATGCTAGAAAAAAATTAACAATAATCAGTTTGTTCTTCTTTGATTGAAAGTATAATCCTGCAGACTTAAGTTTATGTAGAAGTAAAAGCATTGAACTATTTTATTGAAGTGACTCCGACTATGTATGCAGTGTTTTATCCAGGATTTTTTCTCCGGAGGGGCGATTTGAATTTCCGAGGAGGCGAAAAACTATGTTCGGGGGGGCAAGCCATGTATTCGTAGCACGATTATCACAAGTCTCGGGAGGGCGAACTCGATTTTCGGGGGGGAGGGGGGCGCCCCCCCCCGGGCATCCCTCTGGATAAAATACTGTATGTATGATAGAGTCGAGTTTTGCAATTCAATGCAAAGCTTCAGTCAAAATATAGAATATTTTGAGAAGAAAACTATCATATTGATTAAAACATTTAAGATAATGAGACTTACAAATAAGATTTCAAGATAAAAACTCATTATTCAGTTTTTTTTTGTTAATAGTTCATCCTATGATAAGAATTTAGTGAAACTATCATAACTTCATTGATAATACTGAATATCTTTGAAATTATTCTCATCTAGAATCTTTCTCTAGATATGCAAAATATGAGTTTAAAAGTAATGAATTTCTTCAGATGATTCCTTCATCAATGTCAACTTAGGAAATCAAATCTCATCATAGATAAAAATCAATCATAGCGTATTATTTTTTAGACGATGTTTCTGGTTTTTTTTCTTGTATTTAATAAAGAAATGAAAAATTTATTCTGATGTAGATTTAACAAAATTTTTTACGAGATTTTTTTGATGCAATGAAATTACGTGTGCGTTTTAGGGATTCTTTCTTTTTTATTAAAGATCATGATCAATGAATACATTTATATAAACACATTTTTTAACATTCTATTTTACAATTCTAACAAAATTTTTGTTTTTTTTTTTCTCAAGTCATAGATAATCTTTTACTGACGAAAAAAAAAATCATTTCTTTACGTCCCAGTAAACAAAAAAGAAAATAATCTATACAAAAAAAAAAGGATTCATACATAAGAGATTCTATTATCGAAAAAAAAAAAATAATAATAATATTCTAATGTGGTACAAAATCTATATCATTATCTGTTGATGATCTATGTTGACTAGTAGTTGTTTTTTTTCCTTCGAGACGTGCTGAACGTCCTCGTTGTCCTTTATTTTCAGATGTTTGTGTTACTATTGTTGAATTACCATTCGTTGATATAAATCGTTTTGAATTATTTGTAATTGTAACTACAGTTGTATCAATTGATTTTGGTAATAAAATATTTTGTTGATCATTATTATTATAATATCCTTTACGACGATGTCTACCATGTTTTTTTATATCATGATTATTTAATGGTATATTTCCTATTGATCGTGTTTGTTTTGTTCCACCATAATATGGATGTGTATCATAAATAGGTGGTATTTGTAATTGTATTTCATATTTTTTATCAGTTTCAATAAAATTTTGTGTTAATATTTGATTTTTTGTTATTGATAATGTTATATCAATATCTGGATCTTCAATATCAGGTGCTGATGGTAAATAAACAAGTTGATCATTAATATCATCATCATCACTTGATACTAATGCTTCAATACGTTGTTCTGTAACAACATCTATTTCAATATCATCATTATTAAATTTTTTAATATTACCATTAATATCAAAACGTTGTCGTTTATTAGGTGAATATATATAATCTGAATTATCTAAACTATGATCTTCATCTTTAATATCAAATTCTGATTCACGTTCATGATATTCAACATTTTCTTCAAGTTCACGAAAATCTGGTGCAAATGCTGACCAATTTTCAACTTGAGAATATGACCATATTGATACAACACCACTTGATATACTTGCTATTATTGGACGTACAGGATGCCAACATACATCAGATAATGTTTCACCTTTAGTACCATGTAAAATTTTAACTAAATTACCCGATATTGTTTCCCATATATATAATGAATGTTGACGAGATGATGCACCACATATATATTCACCATCACCTGACCAACAACATTTTCGCCATAATGATTTATTAACTAAATCTTGAAGTTTTTGTTTTGGTTCAAGATCACGAATAATACCACATGATAACATTTCAGTATAATTATAAATTCGAATTATTCGATCACTTGTATTAATAAGACAATATTGACCTAAGTATAAAAAAAAAGCAAAGATCATGTATAATATATAGTTACTCAGGTTTTTCACTCTCTCTTAGAGAACTTTTATACGAAAATATTCAAAATGTCTTTTGTACCTGCAAAATATTCTGACTAAAGATTCACAGATAAACTTCTTGTCTAAGAATATGAACAAAATATTTATAACTTGAAATTTTCTCTAAGAATAAATTTCAATATTCGAAATGTTTTAGGTAAAATAACGGCTCTCTTCTTGAAATAACCAAATATTAAAGACTATCTGTATAGACATTCCATAATAAATTTAATCCATTCAAATAATAATCAATAAATATATATATATATATAATCTTACCACGACGAGGTATTTCAATATGTCTTAAAACTGTATTTGCATTAGTACCAGTTGTAATTCGAAATGATGAAATTGTTTTTAAATCCGGAAATTTTTTAATTATAATTAAACCACGATTATTACCTAATATAATATGTTCACCTTTTCTATCAAATGTTGATATAATATCATTTGATTCATCATCAATTGTAACTATTGTATGTTTACCATTATTATCAATTAATACAGGTGGATGTTTCATTGGACATATAAGTAAATAAAATGAATTACGTGGATGAAATTGAATTTTAAGTATTGGTGATTGTATACATGATATACGTATATGACAACGACCTGTTGTTGTATGCCAAATACATACAGTATTATCTGTTGATGATGTTGCTATTAAATCGGATTTTTTTGACCATGATATTGAATATATAGGTGACCAATCTGCACATATTATTTTTGCTATACCACGTGTTAAAAAATCCCATATAACAAGACGACCATCAGAACAACCGACAGCTAACATTGAACCTTTATTTATAAAAAAAACAAAGAAAATTTGTTATTTTCATTTCAAAAATAAATAATTACCAATTTTATTAAAAGCACAACAAACAGCCATCGATGCACAATCGAGTGTGCCATCAAATTCTTCTGGATAATTTTGTTGAAATGTTGAAAGTAATTCAATATTCATTTTGACATCTAGAAGAAATTTTTTTATTCGAAATTAACATAAAAAAAAACGAATAAATTTTTATTATGAAAATATTTTTTTTTTTTTTATGTATGTATAAATTAAATATATTCATATCTATGTGAATATATATCTAATAAGATGATTATCAATACATTCATTATTTATTTATAAAATAAATTTTCAAGTTAACTTTTATATCTTAAATTAATAAAAAAAGAAATTCATAATTATTATGACTATTAAAAACGTATATTAAATGAATTTTGTTTTCCTTTTGATTGTATAAAAACTTCAATAACAAAAGTAAAACACCACAATTTGATAATAAATTTAATTCGATAAAGACTTTATCTTGACGTTTTTTTTAATTTTATTTGTTAGTTTATTTTCTAATCTGATACTAAATAAATGAATATAAATCACTTTTATTCCAAAATAAAAGTTAATAAACTAACCCATATTAAACAAAAACTTGAACTATATAAAGGACTTTTTTGAACATTTTTTTTTATTTGAATTCTTCACGACCGACAAGTAGAGACAGACAGACTTTCATATGTGATTCGTTTATTTTCATAAACGAATGAAAATTCTATCACTCAATAAATACATACAGATGTCGTTTTCATTGAAAAAAGAAAACATGTTATGATTATGATAGAAATCTTTTATTATATAATACATATTGGTTATTTTTAGAGTGTAGAATAATTATAATTTTGATATCATCAAAAAAAAATGTGCTTTCTTATCATGACCAAGCAATAATTAATATATATATAATATGTCGAGGTTTTTTGCAAATATTTTTCGAAAAGATTCATCATCAATACCAGAAACAAGTAATTTTTACATATTTGAAAATAATATTATTTAACTGAATAAATTTATTCTAGATTCTAATTCATTATCAAAAGATAATATGAATTTAAATCATCTTTCTCCAATGGCTTTAAAAGTCACTCAACATCATGATACAGAACCACCTTATTCTAGTCCATTGAATAATAATAAACAACGTGGTTTATATACTTGTGTTGTATGCAATACACCAGTATTCAGGTTGTTAAAATAAATAATAAATTTTCTTACTCATTTCTTTTTTTTTGTTTTTTGAATATTTAGTTCAGAACATAAATTCGATAGTGGTACTGGTTGGCCTAGTTTTTATTCTCCATATCAATCAGCTAATCTTGGTACAAAACAAGATTATAGTTTAATGTATCCTCGAACTGAAGTTCATTGTGCAAAGGTATATGAAAACCAAAATATTACAAAAACATTTTCTTTGTTTTTTTTTTTTTTTTCTTCAAAGTGTAATGCACATTTTGGTCATGTTTTTAATGATGGACCTATGCCAACTGGTCTTCGTTATTGTATAAATGGTGTAGCATTAAATTTTATCCCACAATAATTTTATTTTAGCTATGTACTAATTTATTTTATTAAAATAAATGAATCTCTCTAGTTTTTTTTTCTCTCTTATGTTTTATTCTATTCGCATTGGATCATAAGGTAGAGCACATGCTATATAATGTTTTATAGGCATTGGATAATAGTTAAAATTATCTTGAGATGATATTGTTTGATAATTAATTTCAGGTATACAATCAATCATTAATTGTAGATTATTATAATTTTGTTTTTGAAAAATTTCATCATCTATTTCTTGTGGATAACAATCGTAATTTCTTCTATTGAAAGGAGAATCATTGTGAATTTCTCGTATATATCTTATACCTTTAGGATGAGAATTTTCAATAATATGACGATCAATTTGTTGATTATTATCAAAATTCATATGTTGAATTGTTGGTTCATATGCATAATGATGATTATGATACATATTACCAAAACGATCATATTCGACAGCTTCATTTATTTTAATTGCTATTGATGAAGGAATATTTTTATCGATAAAAACATTTTCAATTGGATAATCAAATTTATAATTAGAAATTTGTCTATCGGCTTGAAATGGTAATAAACGATTTTTGAAAAAAGATCGATTTAATTGATTAGAAAAGAAAGGTCTATTAAACCTATATGATGAATTATGTAAACGTGTATTTAAATCTCGAGGAAAACCAATTAATGTTGAATTACGATTGATTTGAAATGGTCGTCGATTTCGATTCATAGCAGATAAAAAATTATTACGTAATGAAGATTGAAGAATTTGATTTGTTGAAGGTATTGATGATTGTTGATGATTTTGTCCTGGTGAAAGATTATTAATTGGTGCTTGTGGCATACTTTGTTGTTGTGATGGACGAGAAGAAGGATCTTGAGTTTGAGATTGAAATGGTAAACGTTCTTGTATAGTAGAATTTGTTATTGGAACAACATTGTTATTTACTGAAGAATTTACATTTCTATTCATGACATTAGTGTGTGATTGACCAGATTGAAAATCATTTGGTTTTTTTCTCAAATTAGTATTACGAGTATTTAATAAAGATGGTTGAGAATTTTCATCTGATGGTATTGTTTCTCTTTGCTTAGAAAATAAAAAATGATGTAAAGATAATTTACTAATCAAAAAAAAACAAATTTTACTTGTTGTCGAAGATTTGTTAGTTGTGATCGATTATTATATGTGACATTTTTCATTTCATCGTTAATATCATCTAGATCTTCATTCTTGAAAAATTATATTAATTAATAAATGCAAATGAAATTCTCTTACTGGACGATAAGGTTGCCTTGTATTAGTATCATCTATTTCTTCATTATCAAAATCTATAGTTGAATTAGTTGGTATATTTTCAGAACTAAAAATTATATTCCAAAAGTAAAATAGTTTTTTATGTATCACTTACGAAGGATTTCTTTTGAAGGCATTTTTTACACGTTGAAAGAGTCCACTCATTTTTTTTTCTAGGATAAAGTTATTCGCAGTTTTCTAATTGCTTGATAGTAATAGTCATGAATGAAAAACAAGTATAGTCATGGTAATAAAAATACATAACATTGAATATAATCATTTATTGGTATGACATGTAAATCGTTCGTCCGTAGCCAACGGAATACATAGAAAAGTAAAAGAAATAGAAAGGATGTATAAGTTTTTTTATTTATTCATATAGCCTGAGGCATCTGTATTATGATAAAATATTCAAAAAAAAAAAAAAAGAAAAGTGTTTTTCCATTACTGAATTTCACATGTCGTGTGTAATAGATCGTGATGATGATTATCACTACTACTAATATTAATACGATTCGAAAGTTTTATAAAATACGAGATGATAATAATATATAAAATGATCACTACGATGTTTCTAGAAAAGCAAATCTCTAGCTTTGTTTTTGGTGTCTGAAATTCAATTTCAAGTTTGTTTTTTTTTCTGCTGGACATAATGATTGATCGAACTCAGATATCTAAGAGAATTCTCATCAAGTCTTTCTCTTCTCAAAAATTACTGAAGTGATAAAACATCCGTTACAAACGCAAATGTATTTGATCAATTTATCCATAATATGGATATTCCGAAGATATAAATATTCTATTTCAATTTAAGAAGTAAAGAATTTCGAATAATAGTAATTCATAATGAAAAATATTTTGATAATATTTTAATAAATATTTTTTAGAATTATATTCATTAATAACAAAAATATATATTATAATTTATGCATTTAATTTATTACCGTCCATTATTTCTTTATTATCTAAAACAAAATATATGGACAATAAAACCATATATTCGTACATTAACTGATACTTATACATCTCATGATCAATTTAAAATAGATGAAGAAGATTCTATTCAAACAAAAATATTTCTTAATGATACATTAATGCAATCTATTCAATCATGTTCATCTTTATCAACATTATTTCCACTTGTTCGTGCTAATTTACCTCAACATCGAGCTCAACATATAGCAGCAGCATTACTTCGTGCATGTAATATAGTACGTTCATGTGCTTATTTTCATCCAATAAATATGGAAAATTATCGTAAAAAACTTTTAAATCATCCAATATTTGATCTTCTATGTCATTTATGTGAACATCGTTTACTTGAATTAAATTTTGAAGATCATGTTAATATAATGTCAGCATTAGTTAAATTAGATATACGTATGTCATCAAGTGAAAGTCCATTTTTAAGACATTTATTTACAACATTAGTACAAACTGAATATATAGAAAAATTTGATTTAAATTTATTAAATCGTTTTCTTATTGCATTAGTTAAAAAATCTAATCGACATTTACGTAAGTTGTTTAATATGTTTTTTGTTTTTCAAAATTTAAAAAAAAAAAATCAGGACAAAAATGAATCATTTGAAAAAACAATTTTAATAAATTATCAATATTTAATAATATTGTTATTGTAGAAGACTTGATAAGAATTCATCATATTATTTGCAAAAAAAAAAAATGAATTGATATAAATTATTCTAATTTTATCAAATATTGTCATATATTTAATAGATGATACAATTCGACTGAAAATATGTATCAATGCTTCTGATAGTACTAATTTGAGTACATATCTAGTAATATTCTAGTCATACTAATTAGACGAGCTTGATATATTAACGAAACTTAACAGAATGAAAAATAATCAAATTGACAAATGCATGTATTTAAAAATAGCATTGATCTTTCTTTTTATGATTTAAGAATTATCAGACTTTCAAAACCATCAAGGTTCTACACAGAAAAAAAAAGCATTGAACGGTATCAAACACAAGACTTAGACGATTCTAAAATACGTCAAAGTCTTTCTTAAAATTTAAATCATTTGAATACGTTTTTCAAACTGTTATAAATAATGTAGTTTCTAGTTTTTGCGCAGACAAACGATTACATGCTAGATGCCAAGGATGATGGCTATTGATCGACTGATTTGGTATATTTACCTTATGACCAACAGAAAAAGCATAAATTGATCAAGTTCTAACTTTCGCGGGTAATCAATATCAAGATTTTTGAGTTTATTGAGATACATAGTAATGTGTTATGACCGTCTATAGATATAACGAATGTGTACGATAGCGGCACGAATAAGAGGAGACATGAACTTGAAAAGATTTTTAAAATATTATCAAAAAAGGCAGAACTACCTTCATGATTTATTCGATCGATAAAATCTTCAAAGGCAAAAAAAAAGAAACTGTTTGAAAACAACTATAGTATGTTAGAGATTTTTCGGTTTGCATATTTATTATTAGTTAATGAAACTAAACAAGAAATATTTGTTCCCAATTTTAGTTTCAAAGAGGCTACGCTAATAAGCTTTTCTTTTTTTGTTTAACATTACACTTTATCTTGTATATGTTAGAACTTTACCAAGAATATAAGTCATTGACATTTCGGCATTGCTATTATTTGATTACAAAGAGAGTTAGGATGAACAGCAAATTCTTTTGATATTTTTACAACAAAAATGAACATAGTTTTGGAAGAGATTAATGAACTTAAATTGCTTTAGTAATGTAAATAACCAGGACATAATATTCTATATTGAAAAATCGATTGATAACAAATAAAAATGTCACCCATCATAGCTCTCTTTGTCATTAAACACAATAACCGCATCACAATACCAATGAAATTATACTTCATCTAAAGTACGTGTAGACACATTTTCAGATCTCTAGTACATAGATTAATCAAGATTGGTTAGTATATTGTATTTCATATTTCTATATTTAGTTCTTCCATTATACAAACCATTACTTGAAAGATTTCGTCAATTATTATCAGAAGTCGGATCTTCTCATACAGCAACAACAATTAAATGTACTATTGGTATAATGCATCTTTTAGGTATGGCTATACCATTATCAAATAATCAAATTGATGATACACAAGCACGTATGCTTTATTGATTATTTATTCGACGAACGTTTTTTTTTTTTTCGTTGATAATAGTTATTAACAATTGTTTCAAATATAATTGATGAACATATTGAAAAACTTGCTCCAATTGCAGGTCCAGATACATTTGTTCGTTTATTAACATTAGCTGGAATGTTTCCTATACAAATGAAACGATGGATACCACATGCAATTTTAAATTGGAATTATAATTTAAATAGAATATTATGGTTTGATATTTATTTAATTTTATCATCAGCTAAAAGGTTTTTTTCTAATTAAAAAAAAAAGAAGTTTTTTTTGTTTGAATGTATTCTATTTTATTTTAGACATTTTCGTCCATTAAATGATCTATTTGATTTAGCTGTAATAAGATGTAATAATGAACTTGATGAAAATAATATTCTTGTTGATCATGATACTCTTTATATGACATGTGCTTTATATAAATATTCAAAAATAAAATTAAAACTTCGATTAAATAGAAGATTACATATATGTTTAGATAATTTTGATCCACATGAAATATGTCTTTTATTTCAACATGTTAATCCTGATACATGTAATGATTGGGAATTATTAACACGTATACATCAAAAATTAAAAAATATATCATTATCAAGTGAAGAATGTAAATAATAAAAAAAAAAAAAAAAAAAACTAAGAAAAAGAAAAAAAAAATTGAGTTTCTTCTTTTTTTTTTTTTTTTGTTGTTATTCTTTAGATGAAAGTGATTTTTGGCCAATGCTTACTGTGTTAACTGAACATATTAATAAAAATATTGATTATTATATATCAGAACCAACTGGTGCTGATTTTATAATGCATCTACGTGCTGAAATTGAACGTACAAAATCACGAGCTAATGAAACATGGTTTATACGTGATCAATATTTAGCAATTTTAACATTCTATTTAAAATATGCTTTGAGTGGTACTGCTATTCCACGAAATATTATGATTAATGCTAATGCAATGATAGCTCAAGCAAATTTAAAAGATACTGGTACACTTCTTGCCGGTAAGAAGTTCGAGTAAATAAATAATATTAATTTGATTTTATTTTCATGCAAAATTCGATTAACTCTTTGGTTATCGACATAAGAAGCTAAAACCTGTTCTTTCAAAATTTTTTTGTAACTGTTTTTTCTGATCCGGTTTAACAAAATTTGACGGATATAAACGTTAAATCTTTTTGTAAAATATGATATTCTTTGAAATAATCGGTAATACACAGACCAACGTCGCATTTGAGACATTGATAGCGTGTATCGCTTTGTGTTTCTTGTCACTTCGTTTAGTATTGCCAAAAACATAATATCTTCGAGGAGTTTGACTGCTATCATTTAAAAAAATTAGAGGAGGAAAATGCCTGGCCGTCAGTCGTAACGTATGATGACTCAATGCTTTTCCAATATGTGCCCGTACTTTACCACTAGTCCTCGAATAACTTCCGGTTTGAATTTTGGAGTTGGGGATGTTGTTGTATCATTTTGATCGGATTCTGATCTGCAGTTTTCTTAAATCTCATCGAATCCCGATCTGAAAGACGACGTTGCCATGTTGTCATTTTCACAAAACAAATATAGTAAGTCTCAATTTGCTTTTAAAGCTTTTTCAATATGTAATTATAATCTTGAGATGTTGGATGAGTTAAAGAAAACACTAAATGCAAAACTGAACTACTCAGAAAAAGAATCATTTCATACATCTGGCTCAGAAAGAAAGAATACTCTGGAATACACCAGTGTAAAATCAAAAGCACGACGAAAAGAACGATAAGAAAAGAAAAGAAAATACATCAGAATAATCCACATGGACAAGAAGAAAACAGGAACCTGCGGCACGTGTGGTGCTCATACACTTTAAAAGAAAGAGAACAAAAAATAACTATGTGTACAATAAACTGATTCCACCTCACACACCCTCCTTTTTTAAAGCACGGCTCACAAATATGCCAAACAAACTTTAGCTTTCTGACGCTTAGTTTTAGCTGAAGAGAACCTAAAAAATATACATTATTGATGATTGCGTTTGTTCTAGATAATGATAAAGCTCATGACGCATATATGCGTCGTCGGTAACTAAAGGATTAAATATATATATATATGAGAAGAACGTAAAATCAAAACAAAACATTTCCGAAATACACATTGGTTTGAAATAAAAAGAAAATTTGCATTGAAAGAACTTTACTACGAAATTATCAGTTTATCCTATGATTCGTATCAACAACTCAACTAAATTATTTAAACAAAAATTTCAACATTTTTTGATCGAATATCATTGAGATTTAGATTTTTCATAGAATTGAAACGTATTCTTTATTATTGTATATAAAATAAAGAAAAAAAAAAAAAGAAATATATATCTTGATTCGAACAAGATAAGAAGTAGTTATCTACTTATAATAAAATTATAAACTTAATTATATAAAATTTATAATTTTATTTATTTTTAAGGATATTATAATGCAGCATCATTAGCAACACCCGATGCATCGAATATGACATTTCAACGTCAAATAAAACAAATTCATGAAATAATTGTTCATCATAAAATGGAACATTTATCAAATTTATCAATATATCCATTTAGTCATATAATAAATTTTTTAAGTCATATAACATCATCACGTTATAATATTGATACACCATTATTAGAACCATTTTTTGAACGTTTTAATTTATTTGATAATCAAACATTATTAAGTTTACGTGATGTTAATAATTTATCATTATTATTTTCACATACAGCACGTTTTTATCCATTATTACTTGATTCAATGTGTTCAACATTAATTGATACACAAACAACATCATTAAGATTAATAGCAACTTTTTTTCGTTGTCTATATAAAGTTAATTATAAACCTGAACAAATCAATGATTTATGTTCATTATCACGTCATCTTTATGAAAATGATGATGAAATGCGTTCAATTGATATGTTATGGTTAGCTATGACAAGTACTGGTTTATTAAATCAATTAGATGAAAAATTATTGAATAATATTTTTTCATTATCATTTCTTGGTAATGTTGATCAATTATCATTAAAAAAAAATTCTATTCAACTTGGTCAACCATTATTTCGTTTAAATCAAATTGTATGTATTGATCATCCACAATTAAATATTCCTTGGTTTAATGATCGATTTGGATTAGAAATTGCTTTACCAGGTTAATTTAATTAATATTAGTTTGTTTTTATTACATTCAAAGTCAAAATTCTCATAGAATTTATTATTGTACAGTTAAATCTTTCGACAACTCTAAATATCTATAACAATTTTTGTATTAATCATTAAAATTCATAAATTATTGAAATGTTGAAATTTTCAAAAATGAATCTTTCCTACAAAAATTTTGAGAACGAGAAACAGCATAATAGTATGATGATAAGTTTCTTAGTATAAATAGATTCTTTTTTGTTCTATATCATTCACAATAAATCTTTTTCAATGAGTAATGCATGTTGTCTTTTTATATCTTTCTTCATAAATAAAATGATACATAGAATAATAAATTAATACGTTTTACTACTTGAGTAAGTATCTAATAAACTTCGAAATCCTACATTGTGATATGCATTGTTATTTTATGAAATACGAAATTTGTAGAATAACAATGAAGTATTGTATATTTAGTTCTTCAAACTCTCTGTTTTCTTTACAAGATTGAAGGATGTAAATAAATAGGACTTATGAAGAAAAGCTCTTCACTCATTCATATTATTTTTAATGAAATTTTGTTGATAGACTGCCGATATTATTTTACAATCGGGCTTACTTTGAATGTCATAATCACCTAGCACAAAATATATAAAGAAGGACGTGGATTGTAAAAAAAAAAAACAATTAATTTTTATATATTTATGTAGATATGCGTCGTCATTGGATGATTCGAAATGCTACATTTGATCATATTGAATCAAATTTGACAACAATGCTTGGTGGTAAAAAATATCTTCAAACTCATACACTTTCTCCATATTTTCATGAAATTGGTATAATTTATTTAATTTTTCAAATCGATCATATTGTTCAAGATCGAATTTTTTTTCTAGATTTTGAATGTATTCTACGATTAGATAATCATCAACCCATTCCATGTGATCAATACAATTTAATGAAAAATATTAGTGGAAGTAAAGAACTTGATATTCCTGATGGATGTGAAAGGTTAATAATTTTGATTTATGAATTAAAGTTAATTAAATTATTTTTTTTTTCTTTTGGAATATAGAGTAGCTATTCAAGTAACAACACCGAATCATTATTGTCATGATACAACACATTATGTTGGTTCAGTTGAAATTTCATTTCGTCATTTGAAAAAACTCGGCTATCGACTTGTTATTGTAAGAATAGATTAGCATTTGAATATTTATTTTAAAAGAATTTCTTGTTTTTTTTATTTTTTATTTTATTAGCTTCCTTATTATGAATTATTAACAATTGAATCATCTGCAAATCGTTTTCGTTATTTAAATAACAAATTGTTTAAGCATAATCAATAGAAAAATTTATGTTATCGAAAAAAAACAAGCAGTTCTGTGAATCCTTGTTAATGGATTAGTAGTTATTATATTGTACCGTTAGTTTTTGTCTAATAAAAACTGTTGTTAATCAGAAATTTTTCTTATTATATGACGATACAATAATCTATCAAGATTTCAATTATATATATATATATACAAAAATATACATTGATTCAAAGCACTAATGTGTATGAATTCAAACTGTTTTATAATTTGTTGAATCACTTGAAGTAGAACCAAAATTTTGAATTGAAAGTTGTTTTAGGAGTGCAAATGAAGATGATGGAAACTCTCATGAATAAATGAAAGAATCTATAGTGATCGTTCTATGGCTATAAATAATTTCATCATAGAGTATAATTTTTGTTTAAAAATGAATTGATTCACTCATTTCAACATCGATAAAGAAGAATTTTATCGATGTTTATAAGAGTAATGTAAGATTAAGTTTTTTTATTCTACAAGTATAATAAACTTACAACTGTTATATAAAGAAAAAATAAAAAAACAAACTGATTATTGAAAATAATATGAAAGAATGAATAAATTAAATCTTCAATCTTCCGAAAATACTAATATTATCTAATCAATTTCATGGTTCATCTATCAAATTGTATTCATGAATAATTGATAGTTAATAAACAAATTACATATATCTTTGTTTACATTTAGATTAAAAATATTTACTAGTGTGAAGAGTGTTGTATTGCTTATTCAACCGTGTCCATGTATAATATTGTTGTTTATATTTCGTCGTTTCTTGTATTTTGCACGTGAATATCTAAATCATTCAGTAATATTGTTTATTATGCAAAATTCAAAAATATCTTCAAATCATTCATCTTCAGGTTCATCATTGGCATCAAGTCATCATGATTCTATATCTGATAATCAAAGAAGTAAATTAAAGTAAGTCCTTAGAACAGAAAAATCACATGTAATAACATAAGCATAAATGTATACATAGGAGTCCTATTCAGCCTGAACATGAATATGCTGATCAAATAGTAACACATGAACGACCACTTATTCAAAAATCAAATTCATCAAATGAAGACTATATTCCTTCTCCAAGTACAATTAAAAAACGTCGTTCAACAAAGTCTTATCATCAAGACATTTATGAGGAAGATTTAATGTCATCAGATGAAGAAGTAAATAGATTAAATAAACCATTGAGTGTCATCAAAATAAATGATCGACATATTCGAGAGAGTATATAGTATACAATTTTAAAATACAGAAAAAGAAATAATATTAAATTTTAGTCTATAAATTACCAACTCCACCACCTGAGATAAAACGAGTTTTTCATCGTATGCGTTCGCCTGAACCAAAAATAATTGAACGAATCTTTGTTCGTCGACCAACACCAGAAATTATTGAAAATATTATTGAAATACCACCACGAAAAGTTCATATTATCAATAGAGAAAAATATTTACGTCAATCAAAACCAATTACTCGAACAAAGTAAAATATTAAAAAAAATTAATTTTTTTGTGTATCCGAAATTTATGTTTCTAGAGTGGTCCATTTAAAACGACGTCATCGTCATGAAAATGAAGAACAACCACAATCATACATTTCTTCTGATCAATATTTGCAACAGCCATCAATATCTACTTATACTGTCCAACTAAATCCGCTTCCTATGAATTATTATCAATCAAACATTCTACCAGAGATTACATGTAATACTCATATATTACAATCACCTTTTTATACATATCAATCATCACATATGCCATTGATTTTTTCTCATGGATATACTTACTATTAATTACACTAAAGAAATATTATTTTTGATAAATTTTCAATCCAGTAAATAAAACAATAAGCAAAAAAAAAAACTCATTGACATTTATAAAAAAAAAAAAGATTTCTGCATCGATTGCAGTGTCCTACATATTTGATAGTATGGCTAAGAAACTACTTATCTAGAAGATTAGCATATTTAACCATGAAAGATACACTAATGATATTGTAAACAGTATACTTGTATTGTATTAGATAATCAGCATCGAAATTGAACTGCATTAACAAAATATATGAATCATTAGTAAGTTTAGAAGTAAAGTTGATTGATTGAAAGTACAACATGATATGGTAAAATTTAGTCTGTTAAATTTAAACTAATGATAATCTTCAGAAGTACTCTTTCCATTTGCGAATGACATCTATTTCACTCTTTGAAATTTGCGTTTACAATGTGAAACTTTTATATTTGTCACGTTTCAATTGGATTACCTGATGAACAAGGTAAATTAATAAAATAAACCTGTGATACCCAATCTTAACAGATTCATGTACTTCATAGCATCTAAAGAAGTATTTGAGAACTATAGAATAGGAATTAGGCATGAATACAAAGTGTCTGTAAAATAACTCTCTATTTTAAATCCGTTATTACTTTTAAAGCAACAAAAGAGATTGTAACGAATTTTTCACTGTTTTAAGATATGTATCATCACACTTTGTTGTAGATGAAACTAATCGACTGATCGTTTGACGTTCTAACGTCAAGCATGAATTTCGTCTGTTGAATATTTAAAAATAACTCGCCAGTGTGAGAAGTTTATTATTGTTAAATGAGAACTGACACCATAACAACTTTTTTGATGGTTTGAAGTATTACGAAATATTATAACATATAATGTCTCGAATATCTACATAAGAATCTTCGTTGTTCATACAATTCTGTAGTTGCTACAGTATCTGTTCTCGAATAACAATAATAAATTTCTCAAAATAATGAGTTATCTGTTACTTTTCAAATACTCTATATTAATGCAGTAGTACAGTAAAACTAGTAATAATAATACTAGAGTATCTGTGCTTCAGAGATCTAGAAAACCAAACATTTGTAGGTTATTTATTAACTCACTGAGGTCTATCATTTGAGCATATATTCAATCGAAAAGCGATTTAACAGTTGAGGAGATTCTCTCGTTAGTTATGAAAACAATGATATAATTGACTGTTCTGGTATAGGTGTAGGTTTGACAAAAGAACACAAGTACACTCACGTCAACACCATCCACACGCACACTCTCAAATAAGTAGAATGTATGCTTATTTTATTGTAAGAAGTAGGTTATATGAAAAAAAAGGAAAAACACACATAGCTGTTTTGATAAATATTTCCGCAATATTTCATTTCGCCTATTTTTGTGACCATGTGCATGCAATTCTATTGAACTCTTCTCGATTTTGCTGGTAAAGACTGGCAGCTTCATAATTGTTTGTATTACTGAGATCTGGATTGGAAAGTAATGCCAATATCGACAATAAAAGTTTCGAGATAGTCAGATCCCATCTCCATAGCTTTCGAATAGATTCTTCGCAGAAGTAACCAGTGTCAGATGATATATTAGGATGAAATATTAGAGTTTCAAATTTAATTAACGGATGATTAAATGGATAGTCTTTAGAAAAATAAATTTTTAGATTGAGAACGCGATCTGCATAGGGAGTATCACTAGATCCTCTCATTGTTACTTTCCATTTGAAAATGTTATCGCTAGTAATAGGACTAGCCGAAAATTGAGGATCTTTTCCTATTTCCGTCAATTCTTTAGATATAGTTTTTTTAGCTATGGACCATCTCATTTCTTCCTCGTCTCGAGGGTCCTTAAATTCGAGTGCTGCTCTGTTGTATTCTTCACGATCATATTTGTAAAGCCATGCAATATAATCAATGCGCCCATCGTCTATAGAAGGATTGGAGAGTAGAGTCAGAAAGTCTTGTAACATGTTTGATAAAGTCGAATCTCGATTCCATCCTTTTTGTACAAGAGTCTCATTTATAAACATAAGCGGACGTATACAGGGATGAAATATGTATGTTAGAAGAATAATTACAGGTGGTTTATCCGGGTAATCTAAAGGAAATCGAATATTTATAGCGAACTTTCTACCGTGATAGGCACTATCTTGTGGACCACTAATAGTACCATGACAAAAAAATAGATCCCTCTCATCGAAAGGATGAACATTAAATCCGGATGAAGTCTGATGTTGGATCTCTTTCAATTCTTTGCTTATGACTTCTCTGGCTATAGCTATTTTTTTGCATATATCACCTTGATTTGCGTATTTGTTTGTCCATTCACGTGCAATTTGATTATATTTTTCGCGATCAAACCGATAATAATGTGCAGCTTCTGGATTACTTGGATCATGAGGATTCGGATCGTTTAACAAATTTTGTACCGATATTAAAACTGCTGAGATCGACAATGCCGGCGCCCATTGGCTTTGAAGAAGATCCAGGCAGATATAACCATTAGGAAATATATTTGGATGAAATATTTTCGTGGTAAATTGAATTTTCGGAGGCTTAAATGGAAAGTCCGTAGGAAAACGAACTTGAAATGGAAAAATTCCATTTTCATATGGAGTGTCAAGTGGACCGATCATGATTCCTTGATAGTGATATACGTCATCACCGAAACATAGGTCAACGTTAAATGGCGGATCGCGTTGAAAAATCTTCAGTTGCTTGATGATGCGTCTTACTGTAGCCATTATTGTGATCTATAAAGTTGATTGTAATATACTATTTATTTTTTCAAAGCAACAACGACGCGCTTCACCTTTCCACAGAAATCTCTGCGTCATCCAGCAAAAAGAGTTCATTGCTGCTCTGAGCAAAAGAGCTTCTTGTTATACGGTAATGAGTGAATTATAATATAGGTAACTTCTTCGAGAGTGTATCACAATTATATCGACTTCATGCTAATGGCATGAAACTTTCAGCATTTGTAGGACTTGAGTCTGTAAGCATAGCTATAGGCTTAAAAAATTTGAAAAATATTGCCAATGAGTCTAAACAGGAGGACAACGTGTGTCTCCCAGCTCATATGGACCTCAGCTAGTTCGTTTGCTTCAAATAATCTAAGTCTGAGAATTTTATCATAGACACTATTCGTTGAGGTAATCATTTTTTGTAGCAGAGATTTTTCTCCTAAGTGTTCTATTTTTTGAAAAATTGCTATGAAAAAATGCCAGTTTTTGCTGTTTGTTGGGTGGAACATGAATAGCACTACGATAAAAAAAATGAAATACCTCTGCATTACTGCAATCAAATACGCTGATTTTTTGGTTATTGGGAGATGTTCATTCAAAGTCTTTTTTTTCATACGAAAAAGATAAACAAATTCTACTGTTAATTATTATTGTTGGTATTTTAAGAAAATAATAAGAACAAGTCAAAACGAACTTGAAAAATAATTTTTTTTGATGTACACAGAGCATATATTCAAAATTAGTTAGTTTAAAAGTTAATGGTTACGAAATTTTGAATTTTCAAACATAGACTATTGTTTTTACAAGAAAGTTGATGTTTTAATACCCAAAGTTCTGCAATTGTAAGTTTCAGCTGTGGGCCACGAATGTCAGTGTTACAACCTGTTCTGTGCACATCAGTACTAAAGCATTCATAAAGGTGGTTTTGAGTTGTTCTTATAATTCTTTTAGATAATCACTGAAACTTATCTATGAAATGCTCTACATATATTTTATTACTTGATAATAAGTAAAGTTGTTTTCATGATGCCAACAATAATGGTCAACAGCAGTATTTACTTACGTTATCCATATAAGAAAAATCTTGGAGTAAACATCTATCAATAACCAGAGAATCAACTCATTTGATCGAATCATTGCGGATATATTTCATTTTTTATCGTAGTGCTATCCATGGTTTACGTTATATGTGATATGTACTATTGTGAAAACACTGAAATGTCCATAACTTTTGAAGAAAGTAATAATAATCAAAATCCTTTAAGAATAAGGTTCTCTCTTTAGTCTAGTACTGCTGATGAATTCCATATCTAATCCATTATTTCTATCTGCAACTGCTTATTTATAAATCTCACCCGTTATTTTTATTCTTAACTTCTTATTCTATATATAATACCTTGTTGCTATAACAAACTCCTTATTTATATATCTAATCCTATTTGTTTTTTTATCTAGTCTTTCATTTCTATATCAACCTTTATATATTGCTGTAGTCTATTATGTCTATGTGTATTGCTTTGAATCTATGTCTAATTTCGTATTTCCATGCTTTATCTCTTTATGTATCATCTCTGATAATGACGCGAAAAAAGAATACACTTTTAAAGTTAAAATCTGCTTGTTGAAAAAGCATTTTATCAGACGAAAACAGTCTTGGAAATTTTTATGCCAATGAACTCAAATAATACACGTCGTCGTAAAAGCTAAAACAAACTTATAACTCAAATGATTCATGAAATCCGAACATACAGAGCTGTTTAGCATGCAGAAACTCTGTTTCTTTCGACAAAATACTAAGGTTTCAAAAATTTAGCTAAAAATTTTTTGCTCGAGATATATTCCATGCTTTTCATATTGTTATCAAAACTGGATCCGCAGGAGAATATATGAAGTCGAAATGCACTAATGAGATATGCAAAAGCATTTGTTAAGAGAATGATAAATATAGAAAATAGGTTAATGCAAAACCTTCCAACTACAGTATGTTTAAGAGATTCAATACAAATCTCTTTCTGTTGTGAAATCTGGAGAGGCTTTTATACGGCACCTATGATATTATGAAACTTTTACTGCGATTTGATAAATTTGTATCATAGCCTGAACGTATGATTGAAGTTCGACAAAACCTCAGAAGATTCTTTGAATTTCTTTTGTTTCAGTATGGTTCAAGCAATTTTTGCTAGAAACTTTTTTTTGTAAAAGGAGTTCAAGAAACAATGGTTCACAATAGAACTATTCTAAATACTTGGAACCATTTTTCACTAAGAATAATTCTTTAAATTATCTAAAACTTGTGATGGCATACTGATAATCTAGTAAAAACTTGAAAATTCCAGTATCTTGTCTAAAACTTTCTGTCGTTCCTTAAAAGACCTCTCTTTTTAATAGAACATCTCATATACAGAAAGACCCAGTAGCTCATATACTGAACGAGACTACTATTCAGAATTTCTTCTATGAGATGAATGGATACATTGGTATAACCTGTTCTTGCAGTTTTTTTCGACTTATTATCTGAACCTTTCGAGAATTTCTCGCTTGGTGATAGACGTTATATTTAAAATGGCATAAAAAAAAAGTTATTTCGCTATTCAGAATGTTTGTGGTCTGTGCCAAAAAATAATTATACTTAGCATGATTGATTTCGACGGTTTTTTATTCTATGAATATTTAATGTGAAGGCTGTCTAAAGTCATGAGTAAACAGCTAATGAGTTATTCTTTTCTTTTTCTCTCTGATTCTCTAGAAATTTTGATTTTGAAAAATAAAAATGTAAAAAACAAGAAAAATCAATTTCTTCTTGTTATTTTTCTCTTTGCTCGGTTCTTTCAAGTAAAATTAAATAACAACACTATAAAAACAGAGAAGCAGACTGAGAGAGTGAGGAGACAGAGCAATCATTCTGTATATACTACCCCTTTTTGGTAATGTTTTATGTTATTGTTGCAAAAGAACGAAAAAAATCTCTTCTCTCAATCCACTTACAACTATTGCAAAGAAACATCGCATCGATTTCATTTTCACTTTCTCATTCTACAAGCATAGCTGTATCAGTTTTGTGCGCGACTTTAATAGAGAGGTGTAGTCTGTAATTTCAGTAGCAATTACCTGCATTTTTCTAATGAAAATTTTTATCTGCAAGATAAAGCAACCACAAATGAACAGTTGTGTGTAAAGTTTGACTGATAGACTAAGATGCGATTGTAATAATTTTCGTTTTAACTTATCATTCGGTCCTCTACAAAGCTCTGTGAATATGGTTTCTCTGGACGGCAAAGTGATGGAACTATAAAAGAAGAAACGCAGACACATATGAACATTCAATTTCAAAAGCAAAATTTGTGTTTTTTAAATTCTAATATTCGTACGACGAAATAGAAAAAGAAAGATAGATGATCATTGGAAAGGTTATGAAGATCTCTACCCAAACTTGATTCCGATTGGTTTAAAGTATCACCTTAACCCATAATAAAGAGACTTGTTTTCTGGAGTTTCTTTAAAAAACGCAGTTCTTTTATGCATTTTTATGTTAGTTCTACAAAATTGTTCTTAACTTTGTCAAAATTCATCCGTTTTTCATAAACATTTTTGCTTTTGACAGCTTATGCTCTAAGTTATCGAAGTATTAGCCCCTCTTGTGTGGATCGTGTCTACAGAAAAGCTTCAATTACTAGAATTTCTCATCGCTTTGAGCAAATATTGATTTTAGCCATCAGTTTATTCAGAGAGAATTTTCGCTAGTGCATTAGAAGAACCAACTCGAAAAATTGGATAAAGTTGAAATGGTCGAAAACACCAATGACAATATCAATCATTTGGTTACGAAAGTTAACACTTACCGACGTCGAAATTAAAGAAAAAGAAACAGTTGAGAAAAAGTTTTTTTCTGTCACATTTTTTTATACAAAAAGATGATCACACTCGTTTTCCTCCTTCTTCGGTCGCAACACTATTATCGCATGAACAGGCGGATAATGGAGTAACGAAAAAATTCATTTATAAAACATGTTCGTGTGATTTGATGCGTAAAAGTACTTTTTCATTATGAATATAAGTAGAATGTAAAGACATCCGCTTATACCATACATATACATAACATTGCTTTTTAATTTGAATATTTACTTGTTTCAGATAGAAACGCCTGGCAACTATATTCTAGAAAGATTATGTAGTACTAGTAATCCAACAC